CAAGTTAATTTCCATATTAGTATAAACAAACAAGAGCATCCAGTGCCTATGTCAGCAACAGTAATTTCTATGTTCCAACCATCAGTAAAACACATATGAACAGTCTCGCACTTAAACTTGCCAGAAAAAGTTAGTGATTAGCAGAAAGAACTCTGCTTTGTCCCACTCTTTAGCTTTGAGCAGCCCTATTCTTTGTGGAGAATCAGGTCTGCAACCTTGCTAATCTATATAGTTCAGTTCTACTCTCAGTAATCCATTCACCAATTAGAGTCATAAAGCATGGAAACAGACCCTTTGGCCCAACTCACATTTGAGAGCTGGCTATTAGTTTGGTAATAAAATACATATCACTGTCACCTCGTTATCTTCATGTATCCTTCTTCTCCCTCTTTTCCTTTGGATTCACTATCTCTGCTGGCAATGATCAAGATATTTGGGAGAGGTAAGAATGGAACGGAGGCTGTTATTCCCAGAGTCAAGAGAGTTGGAATATTGTGGATGTCCACTAGATTTCCTCGTCTGGTCACCTGGATTTGAACCAAATTTTAAATTGTTAAAGGGCCACCTTTCCATTGGGTCTTTACCTTCTACCTTTCTTTCCTAGGGCTTTATTTCTAGTATCAAGTGGTAAATGTTTGATGGCACCATTTACATAATCCATTCTGTATTTACTCTGGGACAAATGTAGACAGAGTTTTAATCTGTACTTAACCAATGCTGTACCTTGTTTGATATATCAGCATAGATGTAGCTTTACTTCATATCTAACCCAGTGCTCTATTTGTTTTGAAAGTGTTTAACAGGAGAGCTTTGCTCCATGTAAAACAGTTAATCTGCACTTTGATTTTGGGAGTATGGACTGAGAGATTTGTTAATCCGATTGATAGTTTGATATTGACCCAAGGGTGAAAGAAAGACTTTCAGTTTTCTTTAGGAAGAAAGAACTTGCATTTATCAGACAAAATAAACCCAATAAAGTACTTTTAAGCTGTAGTAATGTAGGAAATGTTACACCAAATTTGCACACAGTGATAAAAACTATTCCTTTTAGTGATGTTGCTTTTAGTAATGAGATAAATGTCAACAATGCAACCCCTCCCTCATTCTTATTTAGAATAGTGTGATAGAATGTTTTGTGTTCACCAAAGAGAACAGATAAGATCTCCGTTTGAATCTCATCTGAAAGACTAGAACCTCCAGTTCCTTTTATTTTGCACTCAAGATGGACGTGAAGTCAAACTTCTGATTTAGAGATGGAAGTCCTGCCTGCTGAGCCTATGCTGAACCTATTTAGTGTCCAACAGCAAAATACTATGAATGCTGCAAACTGAAATGAAAACAGAAAGTAATGAAACACTCAGTAGATCTAACAGTATCAGGCCTGTGAGGGAGGAAGGAACAAGAGTTAACCTTCTGGTTCGATGGCCTTTCATCAATGATCTTTCACACGTTTCATGTAACCTGTTCCACACTACAAGTTCTTGTCTCAATGTTTGTACCTGAATAAAATCACTTTCAAAGACAGCAGACTGAGCAAAAAGGTTGTATTCCCGGGATCGCAGGAGCCTGTGTAAAGATCCACCTTCCACCCCAAGCTGTGCAGGGCTGGGTCTTGTAGGCCCAAGGTCAGAATCAATGGTTTGTGTTATACCCGTGAAGAAATCATCTCTGTTCTGTGTTGACTGATTCATTGTGACTCCTTTCCACTCCTTGTGATTCTCAGGCCAATTGTCTTTCCAAGTTACTACTCTTCCGTTGGGCACCTATTGAACTGTTTCAGCATGAAGGGTTCCATTTCGACTCTGCTATCACTCCTGTAACTGACAGCTGGGGCTTGCAACTGAGGATGGCAGACACCAGGAATCAAAAACCTCCTGATTAGATCAAGCTAAATCCAACTGGGACCAATTGTATATCAGTTAAAGTCATGTAGTATCCAGAAAGACTTAATTAATGAGACAACAGCAGATGGAGGTGTCACAATAGTTGTCATGGGGTGCATCACTTTTACAGTGAGATCACAGACCTGAAGCAGAACAAAAAGGCAGTGTTTGTTGACACAAGAACTTTGGGGTGGCTGAACATACACAATCCCACTGCAATCTGCAGAAGCACTGTTCCAAGCCCCATACGTCATCGCTTTCTGCACATGTGCATGGATAGGACGCGTGCTTGAGACGGGAATCGAATGGGATTGAAAGGGTGAGAGGGGACAGGGTGGGGGAAAAAGAGGGAATGAGCCCTATCTGTGCTGTCTCTCCTTGCCCCTCCCCACCACTACCTCCCTATCTACCCAGCCGTCCCGCCTGATTTTGCACAGGAAAGTTGCGGACTCAAAACCAGAATCCGAGAAAACACGGTGGGGGCACCGGGGGAGGTGTGGTGAAGAGAACAGACTGGTGGAATGGCTGGAGAGAGAGAGAGAATGCATGGGTCTGGGATGATGATTGGATCTGCAAGGTGGGGAGAATGGGTCCCCATCCGATCTGCTCATAAATCTTCTCCCCATCGGACCTTTTTTCCACCCAGTCCAGTCTTTAAGAATGAAGATAGTTAAAACTATATATTCAAAAATATAACTAAAATCTGAAAGTATATTCAAACCAAAAAGCCGCAGACATGTTCCCAAAGCTAAAGACCTGCATGTGGACACTTTTCAATAAATGTCCTTTACTAGTGCATACACTGAAAAATAGAGATGTAGGAACTACCGATGCTGGAGTCTTGAGTGGGGTCTGAGTGGCGGAAGTGGAGGAGAATGATGCATTGAATCCGGAGGTTAATGGGGTGATACGTGAGGATCACGTATTCCTCACGTATCACCCCATTAACCTCTGGATTCAATGCATCATTCTCCGCCACCTGCGATCTGACCCCACTACGAAGGATATATTTCCCTCCCCACCCTTATCTGCCTTCCGGAGGGACCGGTCTCTCCGCGACTCCCTCGTCCGCTCCACATTCCCCACTAGCCCCACCACCCCCGGCACCTTTCCCTGCAACCGCAGGAAGTGCTACACCTACCCCTACACCTGCCCCCTCACCCCCATCCCAGGCCCCAAGAAAACCTTCCACATTAAACAGATGTTCACCTGCACATCCACTAATGTGGTATATTATATCCGCTGTTCCCGATGTGGCCTCCGCTACATGGGGGAGACCAACCATAGGCTTGGAGACCACTTTGTGGAGCACCTACGCTCGGTTTGTGACAAATGACAACTCCTCCCAGTTGCGAACCACTTCAACTCCGCCTCTGACTCCCTGGACGACATGTCCATCCTGGGCCTTCTCCAGTGTCACAACAATGCCACCAGGAAACTGGAGGAACAGCACCTCATATTTTGCCTTGGAACCCTACAATGTGGACTTTACTAGCTTCAAAATCTCCCCACCCCCAACCTCATCCCAGACCAGCGCCCCCTCTCATCCCCACCTCCTTGACCTGTCCGTCTTCCCTCCCACCTATCCGCCGCTCCCTCCTTACTGACAAATCCCCAATACAACTTTCTACCTACACTCACCTTTACTAGCTTCATCCCCACCTCCTTGACCTGTCCATCTTCTCTCCCACCTATCTGCTCCACTATCCACCTTCTATCACCGCCCCCTCCTTTCTATTTATTTCAGAGTCCCTTTCCCCTCCCCGACTTCTGAAGAAGGATCCAGACCCGAAACGTCAGCTTTCCTGCTCCTCTGATGCTGCCTGGCCTGCTGTGCTCCTCCAGCTCCACACCTTGTTATCGCTGAAAAATACAGCTTACTTTATATAATCTGTTGAAAACTCTGGATCTCGCGAGTTCCCCAATCTCAAACGGAACTCTATTGTTAAAGCTGCATTCTAAAAAAGCAAGAGAAAAAACTTGCAGTTATATAATATCCTTTTTAAGTAGTATAAGAGCTGCACTATTGTAAGGAAATATGACAGACATATGCATAGCAATGTTCTAGAAATAGCAAGAACAAATAATTTGTTGTAATGTTGTTTGAGGGAAATATTAGCTAGAAAACTAGGGAGAGCTCATTTTAACTTCTTTGAATAATGTTATGGAATATTTTATCTGAAAGGCCAGATGATATTGAGATTTAATGGCTCGTTCAAAGTCATTACTCACAGTGCAGCACCTCCTCAATACTCAGTTTGGAGACTTGGAGTCAGTAAGGACTGCAAATGCTGGAAGCTAGAGTCAATACATGTTGAGCTGGAAAAGCAAAGCCAGTCAGACAGCATCAAAGGAGCAATAAAGTCAATGTTCTGAGCTGAAACCCTTCATCAGCACTGGGGACGGGAAGTGGAACCCAGAAATAAATAGAGGGAGAGGGGTAGGGTTGGGGGGGAGGGTAAGTGAGATGGAGATAGATGGATGCAGGTGGGGGTTATTATGGTTGGCCAGTGGGAAGGGTGCAGCAAACAGGTGAGTCAGAAGATGGACAGGTTGGGGGAGGAGAGATTTTGAAGCTGGTGAAGTCAATATTCAGGCCATTGGGCTGTAAGCTCCCAAGGCGAAATATGAGGTGTTGTTCCTCCCGTTTACGTTTGGCCGCATTCTAACAGTGGAGGAGGCCAAGGATGGACATGTTGTCAGGGGAGTGGGAGGGGTAGTTAAAGTGGCTGGCAACCGAAAGGTCAGGTTGGTTGGTGTGTGCAAAGCACAGTTGCTCCACAACTGGTCCCCGAGTCTGTATTTCATCTCCCCGATACAGAGAGGACCACATCAGCAGCAATGGATACAGTAGATAAGGTTAGATGAAGTGCAGGTGAATCTCTGCTGGATTTGATTGGATTGTTTGGGCCCTCGGACGGAGGTGAGAGGGGAGGTGCAGGGGCAGGTGTAGCACCTCCTGCGGTTGTAAAGAAAGGTACTGGGTGTGGTGGAGGGGTTGGTGGGGAGTGTGCAGCTGACCCTGGAGTTGCGGAGTGAACAGTCCCTGTGGGAAGTGGACATGAGTGAGGAGGGAAATATCTTTTTGGTGGTGCGGTCTGATTGTAGGTGGCGGAAATGCCAGAGGATGATGTGTTGTATTCAGAGGTTGATGGGATGGTATGTGAGGACCAAGGGGACTCTATCCTTATTGCTGTTGGGGGTAGACAGTTTGAGGGCAGAAGCACAGGAAGAGGGGGGAGATGCAGTTGAGGGCATCCTTAATAAAAGAGGAGGGAAACTACGGTCTTTAAAGTAGGAGGATATCTGGGAAGTCCTAGAGTAGAACACCTCATCCTGGAAGTAGATGTGGCAGAGGTACACTCCCTCTTCAAGAACTACACTGGCACTGCACCCCACCTCTTTGCTATATTGATGACCAGATCGGTACTGCTTCGTGCTCCCGCGAGGAGCTCCAACAGGTCACCAACTTCACCAACACCTTCCGTCACACCCTTAAATTCACCTGGACCATTTTTGACTCCTCCCTCCCCTTCCTGGACCTCTCCGTCTCCATCTCCGGAAACCGACTCACCACCGACATCCATTTCAAACCCACAGACTCCCACAACTACCTCGACTACACCTCTTCTCACCCACCCTCCTGCAAAAATTTTATCCCGTACTCACAATTCCGCCGCTGTATCTGCTCCCAGGATGAGGTGTTCTACTCTAGGACTTCCCAGATATCCTCCTACTTTAGAGACCGTAGTTTCCCCTCCTTTGTTATTAAGAATGCCCTTAACCGCATCCCCCCCATTTCCCATGTTTCTGCCCTCAAACCCTATCACCCAAATAACAATAAGAATAGAGTCTCCTTGGTCCTCATATACCACACCACCAACCTTCGAATGCAATGCATCATCCTTCGACATTTCTGCCACCTACAATCAAACCCCACCACCGAAAAGATATTTCCCTCCCCACTCCTGTCTGCTTTCCACCGTTCACTCCGCGACTCCAGGTTCAACTCCACTCTCCCCATCAATTCCACCACCACACCGAGTACCTTTCCCTGCAACTGCAGGTGGTGTAACACCTGCCCCTACACTTCCCCTTTCACGCCCATCCGAGGCCCCAAACGATCCTTCCAAATCTGGCAGAGATTCACCTGCACTTCATCTAATCTCATCTACTCTCATCTACTGTATCAGTTGCTCCCGATGTGGTCTCCTCTATATCTAGGAGACCAAACGGAGACTCGGGAACCAGTTTACGGATCTGCACTCTGCACGCGCCAAGCAACCTGACATTCCGGTTGTCATCCACTTTAACTCCTCCTTCCACTCTCCTGGTGACATGTCCATCCTTGGCCTCCTCCACTGTCAGAGTGAAGCCAAACATAAACTGGAGGAACAACACCTCATATGTTGCCTTGAGAACTTACAGCCCAATGACCTGAATAATGACTTCACCAGCTTCAGAATCTCTCTTCCCCCAGCCTGTCCATCTTCTGACTCACCTATCTCCACCACCGTTCCCGCTGACCAACCACAATAACCCCTATCTGCAGCACGAGCTCCAAAATCTCTCCGCCCCAACCTGTCTATCTTCCTACACACCTATTCGCTCCACCTTTCCCAATGACTAACTACAATAATCTACTACCTGCATCGAGCTGTCTCCATTTCACTTACCCTCCCCCCAGCCTTAACTCCCTCTGCCTATTTACTTCTGGGGCCCCCCTCCCCCTCTCCAGTCCTAATGAAGGGTTTAGGCCCAAAACGTTGACGTTCCTGCTCCTTGGACGCTGTCTGATCAGCTGTACCTTTCCAGCTCCACATTTATTGACTCAATTTGGAGTGTTAACTTGGTGATGTGTTCATGCTTCTAAAGTGGGACTTGAAACTAAAACCTTCTGATATTGATACTGTGACACATTGAGCCAAAACTACCATAAGAAAGGTGCACAATAAAAGCTTTCTTTTCCTTTTTGTGCCCAATGTCTCTTTGTCTCCTTGCAAATTCTTTCAAGTCTGCAGGGAGTGCTTTTTGTACTGTCTGTAGCAATATCAAGGCTATTGTTTTATTTATTGCAATGTACTTCTTGTAAGTGCCACATACTTCCTGTTAAACTTCAACATTTCCTGTGAGAAATTCAATGGGTGATATAGGCTATTGAAAATTTTGCATGCATGGGGAAAGCTGTAACTCTTTTGGTACCATTCTTGCCTCTGTGCTGAATTTTCCCAGGTCCTGAATAGCATGGGTAATAGCGAGATAGTGGGAATATACAGTGAGCATGGAAGAATTAGATTCTTCATACTGAGAATAATGTCTGATTTTACACGTCAGGTTTAATGGATAAATGAAAATCTCGCTAGTGAGTGGTGACAGGCCTATCTGCATGTATTAACATCTTACTAACACCAAATCTCACATCATTGACATGCAAGTTGCTATTTACCCAGTCAGTAGAGTGAAACTAAACAGTGACAATTTTCTGCATGAAATTCTCAGTGGATCTCTAACAACTGCAACTTGCCAGGATCTTCTCCAGTTAGCCATCTTGGCCAACATTTCCCAACATTTCAGGGGACAGTCCCTGGGTAGCGACTGCTTGCACCTTCCATCTGGCATTGGACAAGCATCAGTCTCACCACATAATATTGGCACATCTCCAACTGATTTATAATACAGTTCATCTCTTTAATACTTCACATTGGAGATCAACAACACCTTTCATTGCAGTTCTGCTGCCAAGTGGCTTTACAGGAAGTTGCTGGAAAAGCTCAGCAGGTCTGGCAGCAGGTGCGGAGAGAAATCAGAATTAATGTTTCAGGTCGAGTGATTTTTCCTCTGAACCTGGTAGAAAATTGGCCAAACAATAAGTTATGCTGGGAATACCTCAGTCCAAGACATAGAGACACACATAGACAATTCTGCCTAGAGACCCTTGCAAGTTTCAAGCCCAGCCAACTGAAAACCAGAGAGGTACCACAACACATTAACAAGTGTAAAAGGGCAGTTCAACATTTCCTGACAAACAGATTGCCACATGAGATACATGGGGCAGATGTGCCTCAGTAAAACAAAAGACGAGGTGCACATTTTACACCAAAACCAGACACCCAGAGCCCAAAGCAGACATATCAAAGGGTTCACTATCAGCAAGCAATTGAAAGCCATGAACAACATTTCAATGTGATAAAAAAAATTAACTCAATGACCCTGATGGGTCAATTCTTTGTAAAATTTGAGAAGGTGTAAGAAGCCGGTCATGGCAGGGCTCAGCCTGACCCCACTCTCCCCCTGACCCTGGAGGTCCCTCTGGACACAATGGAGACCACAGCAGCTTGCTGTCTGACCAGAGAGAGAACCAACCCACGAAGAGAGAAGAATGGGCCAAAGAATTCAACAAACCGGCAAAAGTTACATGTATCTGGGAAATATTAAAGTTTCTAAAGAATTGGATAGTTAGAGATAGAGTTGTTAAAACTGTAAAGCTTAGCTCTAAGCCGTGTTGTCTTCAAATAAAGACATGACTGTCCCACTCACTGCTGCCTCCTGCTGTTTAGTCCTTTCATTGACACATGCAAAGGTACCTGGGTAACGTCATTTCACACCTACTGGTCAGGGGAGTCTGCAGGGTCCTAGAGACACCAGGTCCCAAATACCACAGGGTCTGCTGTATTGTGGTGATTTGATATGCTGTGCAAGTGGTACTTCAGGCTGGAGTGGGGAGGGGTTGGGTGAAGATTTAAACAGTGGGGTTACTGTGCAGCACAATGCCCTGTTCCATGATGAGGATATGGAGGGAGATGCAAATCTGATGACCCCTAAAGACCAGAGGAGAGGCTTGTAATATACTAGTAGAGGACTGTTTCTGGTGATTCTGACTAACAGATCCATGAAACCCAATACAGTTACAACATTCTGTAACCTGTATGCTGCTTCCTTCATCACTCTCACCGTTTACCTGTACAGTCAGACATTGGACTGTGGCATTGGAAGTTCTTGGAGCTCACATCGTGTGGTCCTTCACATTGTGTTCTTTGGGGGAGCTAATGTCTGACTTAGAAAGTGGAAAGGATTCATCATGCTTTAGAACATTCCGTATTTATTGTAGAACAGAAATATCTCAAGGCAGCAACCCCTTGCACTCCATTCCTACCTCTGGGAAAAAAAAGTCTGATGGTCGGTCATCATCATAGATCATCATAGGAACCCTACAGTGTGGAAACAGGCCATTCGGCCCAACAAGTTCACACCGACAGTCAGAGCATCCCACCCAGACCCATCCCCCGTAACCCAACTAATCTACACATCCCTGAACACTTTGGGTTATTTAGCATGGACAATCCACCCTGCCCTGCACATCTTTGGACTGTGGGAGGAAACCGGAGCACCCCTGTGTCGACCCCAACACAGTCATATTTTCCAAGCTCTTCTCTGCAAACTGGGTTCCCTAGAAGCAGAAAAATTCAACGCTCTTTTGAGTACTGTCACAGTCAGAATGGGCAGAATGATTTGCTTTGGTGCCGCAAATTTCGATGGTTATCATTCAGTGCACCGGCAGTACCACTGTAGGCCAGCAGATGACAGTGTTGAGCTACAGAAATATTGTTCTCAACATTGCCACCAGGTGTTCTATGCTGGAACTACAGCACCTGCAGCTGCAACAGTGGAAGTTCATTAGCTTCCCGATCCGAAACGTCAACTTTGCTGCTCCTCTGGTGCTGCTTGACCTGTGCTGTGTTCCTCCAGCTCCATACTGTGTTGTCCCAAGTTCATGAAACTGTTGCATAATTACCGCTGTGAGTCACGTCTCCGTACAACAGCCACATGCATTTATATAACATCTTTATTCTTATAAAACCTTCTAAGGTGCCTGACATGAGCATGATTATTCTGAGGATCCTCTGTCTGGATCTCTAAATATTCTCGCTCTGTTCCCTTGCAGCTGCTCAGCTTGTGTTCCTTTACTCTGACAGAATCATCTGTTTTAATGAAGACAAATACAAAATCACACCCTTCGACTCCATAAGGAGATTTCCTTGACAACAAGGTGCAGGGCTGTATGAACACAGCAGGCCAAGCAGCATCATAGGAGCAGAGAGGCTGACGTTTCGGGCCTAGACCCTTCATCAGAAAAGGCGGAGGGGAAGGGGGTTCTGAAA